GCAGTGCAAAATCAAGAGACTGAGTGCCTGATGAGTAAGGACAAAGGAGTTTGAGTTTGAGTTTGAGTTTCATTTTATTTATATGCCGCCCTATTCCCTACGGGACTCAGGGCGGCGCACAAACCCGAAGGAGGGGAANTCAGGGTTGACTCAGCCTTCCATCCTTCCGAGGTGGGTAAAATGAGGACCCGGATTGTTGTTGGGGGCAATATGCTGACTCTGTAAAACTGCTTACAGAGGGCTGAAAGCCCTATGAAGCGGTATATAAGTCTAACTGCTATTGCTATTGCTATTCTTTTCACTATAATAGTTTTGATGATTAGAAATAATATTATATAGAAAGAATGGAATTATATGTATTCTTAGAGAAGTTCAATTACAGTTGCATGTGTAACTGTTGAGAGGAAGATCAGGTCACTTTTTCATATTTTTTCATGTTTTTCATTCTTTTCTTTTTCTATCTCCTTTTTTTCTTTATTTCTTCCTTTTATCTTTTTTCCCATTTACTATATTTTTATTTGGATTCATTTCTTATTACATATATATGTAAAATCTTTAAATAATTTTTAAAGTAATATTAGCATGCGTGACTTTGGTTCCTTTATTTACCTTGAATGGCTTACACTTTGGGATTTGTCCTGTGGACTTTGGGGGGAAAACACAGCAATGGGATGGTTTTCCTCCTTTCTCTGTGATTAGTTCATGTCATGGTTAGTAGAGGGGAAGAGATCAAGCTTGAAATCTCTAGTTTGTAGAATTCTTCAAGTTTTGACACTCTGTTGCAGTGACTAGAAGAGGTAAAAGGAGCCTCAAGAGAGGAATAGGCTTTAAATGCAATTCAAGCAAAACAAAGTAGCCTTACATTCATGGATGATCCAAGTTCTAGAGATTTCTCTTTTTTAGATTTGGATGGGATTACGCTTGCTTGGATAGAACAAGTAAACAGTTTGTGGGATTTTTGGATTCACAGCTTCTATTCTATGATATACTAAATTGGGAGTCCTGCCTTATTGTGTAGTGGGCTTCAGTCGGCAAGAACCAGACCAGCATAGCTGCAACTGTTTTTATTGACTCAAAAATGGAACTGAGGAATTGCAGACTAATGCCTGTTATTTATATTCACTGCTCTAGGCCCACAGGGCCTTAACCAATCATAAACTAGAAAAAAACCCACCCCCATATAATTATTTTGAACTTCCTTCCAACAATTGGAGTCATGTAAAAGTTAGTTTCACTGTTGCACAATCTAACAGTCAGGGTCATCTAAAAGTTAATCCCCTTTAGCATAATTAGATACATTTAAGACATAACTCCCCTCCCCACTAGGGACGTGCAGTCACTGGAGGCAGGGGAGGCGGAGCCTCACCAGTCTCAGGGAGAAAAGGAAAGAATT